GTTGGGGATAACGGGAGGGGGCACTGGGAAGACGTCACCTTCCGAGGTCAACCTTGGAAGGCCGACCTTGGTCATCTTCCAAGGCCAACCGCCATCTTTGAAGGCATCTTCCGACCGTCGTCTTCCAAGGTCAACCATCATCTTCCAAGGCCAACCATTGGCTTCCAAGGCCAACCATTGGCTTCCAAGGCCAACCATTGGCTTCGAAGGTCAAGCACCACCTTCCAAGGCCAACCGCCATCTTCCAGGGTCAACCGCTGTCTTCCAAGACCAACCGCCATCTTCTAAGGTCAACCACCCTCTTCCAAAGTCAACCGTTGGCTTCCAAGGCCAACTGTCATCTTCCAAGGCCAACCGCCATCTTCCAAGGCCAACCGCCATCTTCCAGGGTCAACTATTGGCTTCCAAGGCTAAATACCATCTTCCAGGGCCAAGCACCATCTTCCAAGGCCAGCCGCCATCTTCCCAGGTCAACCATCTTCCAAGACCAACCACCATCTTTAAAGGCATCTTCCAACCACCATCTTCCAACGTCAACCATCATCTTTGAAGGCCAACCGCCATCTTCCAAGGCCAGCCGTTGGCTTCCAAGGCCAACCACCCTCCTCCAAAGTCAACCACCCTCCACCAAAGTCAACCACCATCTTCCAAGGCCAACCACCCTCTTCCAAGGCCAACCGCCGCCTCCCAGAGCCCCTCCCCGCGGCGGCCATGCTGCCGGGCGYCCGCACGGTGCCATTGGCCGCCGCCGAGGTGCCGGGCGGCCCTTACAGCGTGCGGGTCCTCCAGGAGGGCTTCAGCGAGGCCCTGCCCGGCGGCCTCCTCCGCGCCGACGCCACCGTCACCCTGGTGCGGGGCCCCCGCGTCACCGCCCTGGTGGACACGGGGGGCCCGTGGGGGCGCCGGCGGCTGCTGGGGCAGCTGGAGGCCCAAGGGCTGCGCCCGCAGGACGTCACCCACGTCCTCTGCACCCACGGCCACTCCGACCACGTGGGCAACCTCAACCTCTTCCCGGGCGCCACGTTGCTGGTCGGCTTCGACCTCAGCCGAGGCCCGGGCCTCTACCTGCCCAACGACTTGGCCCGCGGCCTCCCTTACGTCCTGGAGCCGGGCTTCGTGGAGGTGCTGCCCACGCCGGGCCACGTGGGCGCCCACGTGAGCGTGGCCGTGCGCGGCACCGCCCTGGGCACCGTGGTGGTGGCCGGGGACCTCTTTGAGCGGCGCGACGACGGGGACGTGTGGAGGGCGCTGAGCGAGGACCCGGCGCGGCAGGAGGCCGCCCGGCGGCGGGTGCTGGCCCTGGCCGACGTCGTCGTGCCGGGACACGGGGCGCCCTTCCGGGTCCTGCGGGAGGGGGACGGGGGGTCC